CATCCATCACCGTATCCTTTATGTAGTTTAATTTTGATTTTTTTGCTCTCATATACTCCCCATAACTCTGACCTTAAAATTTAACTTGAAGCCCTCTGAATCAGGCCAGCGCAGGTTCTAGCCAAATACATTTTTCTGGCCTTTGCTAAGTGTGTTCTGGCAGTGCCAAGATCCCATCAGTCGGCTCTCTCAGGATGTGGTCTAGGAAGACAGATCCCAGCTTTGGACACCTTTTATGTTGCCAGGCATTTCTTGCCATGTCCTTCTTTCATTTCCATACTCACCCACCAGGAGAACGGCTGCCTGGGTACCTGGCCCAAGTCCTCCTCTGCCCAGCCCGAGATACAGGCAGACCATTGTGTCCTTCTTCTGTTGGAGGTGGTCAGCAGGCATGGGTGGAGAACCCTGGAAGCTCCTGACATGCATGGTTGACTTATCACTATTATTTCTGAGCCTGTCTCAAAGGCAGGGTGCAGAGCCCTTACAGGTATGTGCATGGGAGTGGGCAGCCTGCCACTTCCTGCCTGCCAACTGGGCTTGGGCCTTGGCTGTTCCCTCTCAGCTTGGTTTCGGAGGGCAGTAAGAGAACCCTCCATGGAGAGGGCATGAGGGTTTGGAGGACAGTTAATGTGAAGTGCTCAGTAACAGTGCCCCAAGGGGAGCCAGCAGCGTTGCAGCAGCTCGGGCTGCCCCCAGATGCTAACATGCTCTCTCTCTCTCAGGGGCCCTCTGGGATGAAAACCTTTCCACTGTCCAGAGTCTCAGCCACTTCCCCAGGTGTTCTTCTAGTGGAGTTTTTGTTCATTTTTCTGCTTCTATTGAGCCTCACTGACTGGCATTCACCTCTTCTTCCTTTCTATCCACAGGGTTTGCTTCCTGGACTGTTTGCTCCACTTGAGCAACTGGGAGCTTTACCCATAGCTGCAGGCATACCTCAGCTGTCCTGGCAGGAAGCATGGTTTGCCTGTGATGCAGCTGTTGAAGGTCCTCGTAGACTAAATGAGACATGGCTTCTGTGAAGCAGCCATCAGTGCCCTTAGCATAAAGGCCCACATCCTTTCCTCACGTTGCAAGGCCCCTGGCCCTAACCCCTGCCCTTTCAGTCTTCCAGCATGGCCTATGCTGCTGGTCTCTGCACATGCTCTTTTCTCTGCCCAAAATGTCCTCATATCCGGTTTCCCCCCTTTTCGTCTCTGGAGACTCTTAAATTTTGGCACAGAGACTTTGTCCCTTCTGAGGCCTTGCTGAAGACCCTTGCCGTCTCCTCCTGGGGCATTGTGCTTTTTCTCTCAGAACAGACATCACATTTATAAATATTTTTAATTGTGTCTGCTGGAATCCGAGGGGCTAGGATTTCCCTGTGTCCATAGGTGGTTGTGCAGCGGCCAGGGCAGGGTGTGCAGGATCGCTCTGCTCCTCTGTAACCTCGTAATGACAGAAGCTGGGTCTCATGTGTCACTGTGTTCTCATCGCTGGCACCATTGTTGGGCCAGAGAAGGCTCATGAAATACTGCGAGTAGCAACTGTGGGAAGTTGTGAGCAGTTTTCACCCCCTGGTGTCGACAGATACCTTAGTTATCTTTAGGATTTTTCCTGCAGATGTATATGGTTCCTCCTGTTTCCTGGGAACTCAGCGAGGGTGGATGATACTTCTCCCTGTGTCTGCCTAGAGTACAGTCAGCCTGGGTTGGGCCAATGACTCAAAACGAGTGTGTGTGTGTGTGTGTGTGTGTGTGTGTGTGTAGGGGTGTGTTGGCCAGTGGGGTCCTGATGAAACAGAATGGGAAAGGGAAACAGAAATGTCGTGGGACTCATCATGCAGTCTCGGGGTGTTTCCTGAGCATCAGGGAGAACTTAGTGAGTAGGTGCTGGCCCAGGACTCTGCTGGGGCTCTCAGACAGGAGAAGAAGGAGGAGAGAGCTTGGCTCTGGGGGACTCTCTGCCCCTGTCATCCCTATGTTTGATTAATACAGCCAAAGAAGGGCTCTGCTGTGAATCTTGGGTGCTCCTCCCAGGGTCTCCCAGTCACTTGTCATCCAGTGCCCTTGCTTGGGTGCCTGGCCACATACCACTGTGGTCCCCTTTGGTGGGCTTTTATGTTCTGGTTTCCTAGCCAGGTGGAGAGCCCTCTGAAAGCAGGGATGTGTGTTACACTGATGACACACACGTTGCCTGGTACAAACAGTGCAGAGGAGGCCAGGAATGAGCAGCTATGTGTTTGCTCTGTCAACTTTGCTTTTTGTATGCTTGACTTGAATGTGTGTGAATATTATTTAATTTGCTCATATCAGGACAGCCTCAAATGCCATCGATTTGCAGTCAGACCTTCTGGATGCTGAGCCTGTATTCGGTCAGGAGGTAGTTTTGGAGATGACGATCTGCCCAGCATTAATGAAAAAGAGAAACCACCCACAGACATAAATTTCTGACTTCATAAAGTTCAGTCCTAACATATGGGGATGAAATAGCCCAGTTTATTCCCAAGAGTATGTGGCTTTCTGGAGCTTGTATGTGCATTACACACCTGTCCACACAGCCACCGCCTGGCTTATCAGGGCCCAGAGTCGCTGCTTATATAGAAGGAAGCCCGACCATGGGGTGCATATAGACTGAAGTCAAGCAACCATCAAATCATGGATCCTCCCTACTGTGCCTACCTGGCCTCCTGGGGATGGTGAGTAGACACATGCTTACGGCAACAGCTGCCCCCAACTCCCTGTCGGTGATGAAGCCACACAGAGGCACCCTTGCCAGTTTCCGCCATATGCTCACCAATTAAAGCTCAAATGCCTGCCACATGCTAGACTGTTGGAAACACATTTTTGTTTTGATGTGGCTATTCTGAAGTAAATGTGTGCAAGAACATATGCTTTCTGTCAACCAAATGATGACACTGCTATTGCTAAAACTATGCTTTTGCTGAAATGAATGGGGCTTTGTATCTCTTTGCTAAATACTCTATTTTCAAATGAAAAAGAAATTACCATAAAAATTCCTTCAACACCAAAGGGAATTTTTCTCAAAGGCATGCTCACTCTTTTGCTATACCCACCCCAGGTTTTGCTCTTAAAGAAAAGTACCTGACACGCCCATTCTTAGGCACATGGGCTCACAGTTCTATGCCCTTTGGCTTCCTCCTGCTGCTGCCAGCCAGTGTATCTCTACCTGGAAACTTGCCCTCATATCACCAGTTCCTGTAACCTTCCCTCTTGGGGACACTCAGAAGGGACAGCTCGTAGATGGCAAGGCCTTTTCTATCCCAGCCTTCCTTCCTTCAGTCTCCCAGGGAAGCAGGTTCCTGTACTAGGGTAGAGTCCCCAGCAAAAGATACATGATGTATCATCAAGCCACAGGCATGCAGAGGGAAGAAGCCCTCCACCTTCTATACCAAGTCCTGCCTGAAGGGTACTGGGGGGATCCCCATGGAGGAGAAATTCTTTCCTGTGATGGTTGGAAGTTACCCAACAGCATAAGGAGAGGCTGGCATTGCATCCTCCCTGCTGCCTGCCTCTCCAGTTCCCTGACTCATTCTCAGAGGAAGGTGACCTGAGAACAGATGAGTCAGGGGTCTTGATCCAGTCCTGGCAGAACGATATCTTGCTTGGGAAGCTGAGGGAAGCTGGGCCTCCTGCCCAGTGAGGCCTGAGCTTTCCTCTCCCATAGTAATGCCACCACTTCCAGCCTACTAAGGGGCCTGTTCTGCTCACCTCGATTCTAGCCATCCCCACTTACCTCAACTGGCAGGATGCCTCCACAGAGAAAGAGTTCCCCAATCTGCTTTTTTTTTCCGGAGTCTGGGCAGGTCACTTACAGTTCCTACCACATGCAGATCCTGCCTGAATTTCTGTGCTGATTTGAGTAGTGTATGCATAGGGCTGAAGTGCATACTTGGGGCTCACTGTGAGGATTCCAGCACTGCAGCCTTGCCCAGCTCTGAACAGCACACCCTCGAGAGTGACCCGGCCTCCCCTGCCTTTCACAGGTGCCAGTTGGGTCAGAATTTTTTGTATTCTCCATCAGTTGGCTATGCATCCACAGCTCACAGCTGATAATTTTGCTCAGCAAAAACATGCAAAGTCATACTGTGCCATCTCCCTTCTCCCTGGAGATGCCATGTGTGGGAGCATGAGCATCAAATCTTCAGTCTTGTTAGGTTTACAGGCAGTTTTGTGCCCATAAGAGAGTCTCCTAAATAGCTTTCAAAAGTATGCACTAACTGTGCATTATGAGCAAACATAATTCAAGCAAAGGGTGACAGACCTCACTGGTTTAACCAGTGAAAAGACACTGGGCTTGATTCACTGTGGATTTTTTTTGTCTTTCCCTGAAAAGACAAAGGGATCATGTATTAGTTTTCTATTTCTGTGCAATAGAAATATGAATTTCCACAAACACAGTATTTCAAAACAGCACCCATGTATTATCTCAGAGTTTCCACAGATGAGAAGTCCAGCATAACTTAACTGGGTTCTCAGCCCTGGGCAACACAAGGCCATAGTCAAGGTTGTGGCTGGCTGGGCTCTTCCTGGGAGGCCCGGGGAGAGTCCAGCTCCAATTTCATTCAGGTTGTTGGCAGGGTTATTTCTTGTGCTCACAGGGCAAAGGTCCCTGTTCCTTGCTGGATATCAGCCAGGGGTTGCTCTAGAGGTTTCTAGAGGCTACCCACATTCCTTGTCATGTGGCCCCTCCACGTTTATGATTTCTCTTTGCTGCTAATCTGAAAACATTCTGCTTTTATAAAGCTCACTGGGTTGGATCAGGCTCATGTGGATAATCATCTCTTAAGGTCGAGTGACTTGAGACCTGAATGCCTGTTGCACAGGCCCTTTCCAGCGGCGCTTCAGTTAGTGTTTGATTGAATAATGGGGGGAAGGGAGTCCTGGGGGCCATCCTTAGAATTCTACCTGCGCAGACAGTGCAGAGCAGTCAACCTCAGGCCCACTTCCCATTGGACCTTTCCAAGAAATTCCTTTTATGATTTTAACTTCCTTGTCCACCAGCGAGCACCGGGTGCCCTGAGCCCAAAGCGGAGGCAGAACCAGAGGCAGAGGCCGAGGCAGGGCAAGTCGCCCATGAGGCCCACGGGGAAGTAGCCCGTGCCCGCGTGGGAGCCCTGGAGCATGAGCCGGCGGAGCAGGCAGCCCTGAGCGAGAAGGAGAGGCAGAACGAGGGGGTGAACGAGAGGGACAACTGCTCCGCCTCCAGCGTCTCGTCCTCCAGCAGCACGTTGGAGAGGGAGGACAAGGAGGACAAGCTCTCCCAGGACCAGGGAGCCGGTAATCCGCCCCTTTCCACATCGTGCCCAGGGAGCCCCGCGGCAGGCACTTGGTTGGCCGGCCTCCGAGGTGACCTCCTGGCCGGGTCCCCTCATTGGGTCGGTTCACTGCGTCCGAGGTGAGGAATGTAGCCAGGCCAGAGGCTGGCCAGCGGCCCCTGCCCGGTAGGAAGGCAGCCCCCCTCGGCCCATTGTGCTGTTGTACCGCCAGTTCTACAGGTGGGAAAAGAGCCCACACGGGAGGGCAACCGAGGACTTTTGGTGAGGACTAAGCCCCAAAGGAGAAATTCCTTATTTTGTTCAACAATTGTCTAGTTATTAATAGTAAGTGAAGCTATTTTTCTGATTTAAATTTAGAGACACATCATGTTATCTATTCCCTTGAAAGAGGTTTTTAAATGAAGTGTGTTAAACCACTTGACTGCACATTTCAGACCAAAGAAATTGTTCAAATGAATCATATGAGCACTCTGGACAGTGTGAGGAGCTCAGTTGCTCTACTGGAATATTCATAATTTAAGTAATTTTTGACAGTATACTCAGGACTGTTTTTTTCTATGGTACAAAGTACATGCTTTTCCTTATGAAATTATGTCTTTGTGGTATTGTATCTGATATTCAGGTAGCCTGTATAATGGTGACTTTCTCAAGGGACAAAATGGAGTACTAGTCCTCACTAGGGACTCAGGTAGGTTGCCACAGAGGGTTGCAGGAATTGTAATCCATTCAGATAACCATTTGAATTATGATTCATATGTGACGCCACAGGGCTGCTTTTTTCCTACCCATGACTTCTGTGCTGTTAGAGTGGCAGGGAGCCACCTCTCTCAACTACTCTCCTCACCAGGAGAGTAAGCCTTACAGCCAGCCTGCAGTAAGCTACAGAGTGACACTCGCAGGGGTTCTACATTTTGGGCCCAGAGACAGCATGAAGGTTCCAGGAAGGCATGGGCCAGTGGCTTAACCCACGCATGGCTTGTTAGCTCACAGATTAAGAATACATTGCCTCTGAAGCATGGATGTGTGAAAGAAAAATGAAAGAATGAAGCCAGAGTATTCCCATGAGGACTGTCAATCAATGGCTTTGTCTAAAATAGTTAATACTTGAGTTTTTACCAGTTATAATGTGTCATTAGTTTTTATTCTCTAGATTGCTGGTCACTATGATGCAGTGAGACAGGAGGACTGGAAGACTTTATTAGTTTACATCTTAGGAATTACTGCACCAAAAATCTTGTGTCTGGTTGGTTGAAGATGTAGGTGCTAAGAGGTATCACATGTATTGATACCTAAGTTATTTTAAAGTCAGATTATAATTAGTCTCCCAAATTCTACTTGTTGTTTTCACATTTAATGGAATTGTGACCCTAGGATGGGGTAATGGGTAGGTCTTCTTGATCAGTTTGGCCTTAAATCATGTTATGTTTATTAGGAATAGATTTAAGAATAACTAATTGTAACTAAGTGTAGCAGGCCTAAAACCTATCAACAAGTTGGATTAGTAAAAATAAGCCAGGGAACAGAACTTTCTTGGATCAGATTGCCCAATATTCTTCCAAATAAGGACAACTTTCCAAAAATGGGGACTCTGTTCCCAGTGAAGAACCATTGACTTTCCACCAAAAGCTGGTGGTGTCCAAGTGCAGGGACTCTGGAAGGCTTTGCAGTGATTTTTTTTTCTTTGCTTCAGTCAGCTGGTGTTAAGAGAGGTGACCATGTTTATTAGTTGTGGCTTATTAGTTCCTGAAAAATCCTACTGCTCACAGGCACTGTCAGCAGCTGTGAAGTTAGGGCAGCTCTTGTTTTACAGAATGTTCTCAGTTAAATCACCAAGGCAATCTAAATGATTCCCAGTCTTATTTTTAATGATTGTCCCTGTGACTCAAGAATGAATTTGTTAGGGCTTGAAAGAGACTCAGCTTACTCTGGTTGTGCGGTTTTACTTTTGTTTCATGTGTCCCACTTCATAGCATTAGTGTGAGAGGATTTACCATAGCATTAATCATACTTTGTTGTAATTACCTGTAATACTGTCCTTTGGCTCCACTAGAATGTAAGCTTTGTGAGGATAGGGGTGTCTGTCTTGTTCACTGTGAGTCTGTGCTTCATAGATGGGTGCCCAGAACATAGTAAGGTCTCACAAAACTAGTGAATAAATGAGTGAAGAGCCATCTGGCTAAGGGAGAAACTCCATTACTCCCAAGGCTTTCCTCTTATAACTAAGGTATCAGCACCCTGGGTATAATAGAGCAGTAAATCATAGGGGGACTCTGAAAGGTGGAAGGAAGAAGGTAGGCTGCCTAAGAACCTTTGGGCTTGAACAACATAGCAGAGAAATGCCACATCAAGCCTATTCCCCTAACCAAAGGATTGCCTACCAGAACAGAAAATCTTTTTGTCTTTTAATACATGCCCTACTCTGGACAAGCACTAATTGAAACACTGCCACTGTCCTACTCCTCCCCATAACCATGGCTTCTGTGGGACCAAAGAGGGAGTGATCTTCTATATGCGCCCACCCTATGGGGGCAGGAGCAACAGTGTTCCAGTTCTCCTTTCTTCCTCACAAGTCTGTGGCCTCAGCAGAACTCAGTCTTCAAGCCTCTACTCGGTAGAAGCAGGCAGTGCTCTGATTCCTCTGCTTGGGGTACTATTGCCTAATAGGGAAACAATACTCTGTCTCCTGCAGGCCAGAAGCAGGTGGAGACCCAATTCCCCAACAAGGTAGTGTCAATGGGGTCCTGTGGGGATCTGAGCCTTCACCGTCATCCACCAGGAACTCAACTTCAGGAAGCAGTGGGAAGAGAACCAACCAGCATTGTGTTGTCCCTACCCTCCTTCTTGCTGTGTCAGTGAGCAGTTACAAACACTCACACAGGAGCTATCAGTGTGTATATACACCCTAACTCATCAGTGTGCATAATGTAACACCTAGGGCAACTGACAAGAAAATTATACAAACAGTTCAAGTATCCGGACACTCCTGTGTGAGTGTTTGTAACTGCTCATTGATGTATTATAATGGTGTTTTAAAGTACTTGGCAGATAATTCCAACATCTGGCTCATCTCAGTGTTGGCATCTCTTTTCCCATTTGAGTAGTGATTACTTGAGTTCTTGGTATGATCAAGTAATTTTCAAATGTGTCCTGGATATTTGGGGTATTATTTGATAGGCTTTGGATCATATTCAGTCTTCTCTCTTAGCAGGTAGTTACCCTTTTTAGGTGTAGCATACAAATCTTGGTGAGGATAGATGTTAAGCTCCCTGGTGGGACCTGCTGTCACCCAGTATGAGGGCTGACTCACACTGCCTCGCTGCAGACGGGTAAGGTGGAGGTTCCATGCCCCCTTGGCCCCACTGGCAACTTCCCAGTGAAAGTGGAGCACCGACTCACATCGCTTCAGTGCTTCCAAGTGAAGATGAAGGCTCAGCTTCCACCACATACCCACTGATTCTGGGTTGGGGAGAACAGAATGAAGACTAGTTCTGCCTCCAGCCACATCACTCTACCTTATCTGTGCCAGGTGGGGATGGAAGCTCAGCTCCCCACTTGGCCTTGCTGGGGTCAGAGAGACGGCGAGCAGTGGCAATAGAATCCTGGTTAGTGTTCTTCCCATTGCCCCCCAAAGTTGAGTTCCTGCTGCATATGAACATATTTGAAGAAAAAAAATCTTAGCAAAGAAATAGAAGATATAAAAAGAACCAAAGGGAAATCATAGAACTGAAACAATGCAATAACTGAAATAAAGTACTTGATGGGCTTTATAATAGATTGAAGAAAACAAAGGAAATAAATACTGCACTTGAAAATAGATCTGTAGAAATTACCAAATCTGAAAACAGAGAAAAAAAATAGACTGAAAAAATGAACAGAGCCTCCAGGACCTGTGGGACTATATCAACAGAACAAACATTCATTTCATTAAAGAAGGAGAAGAGAAAAAGGACAGTGCTAGAAAAATATTTGAAGAAATAATGGCCAAAATTCCCCATATTTGAAAAAGGCATAAACCTACAGATTTAAGAGGCTGAGTAAATCATAATAAGGATAAGTTAAAAGGAACCCATACCAAGAAAAATGATAATCAAACTTCTGAAAACTAAAGACAACATAAAAAAAGTCTTGGTTGAAACTAGAAATAGATGCATTACCTGTAACAAAGTACCAGTTCAAATGACAGCAAATTTCTCATCTGTAACATAAAGACCAACAGGAAGGGGCACAGCACTTAAGTGCTGAAAGACTGGGACTGTCAACCATGAATTCTACATCTGGCAAAAGTAACCTTTAAGAATGAAGGGAGAATAAAGACATTCTCAGTTAAAGAGGAACTAAGAGGAATCTGTCATCAGCAGACCTACCCTTAAAGTATGGTTAAAGGAAGTTCTCTGAACAGAAAGGAAATGATGACAGAGGAGGTATTGGAACTTCAAAAGGAAAAGATCAACAGAATGGGTAAAAATAGGGTAAATTGAGAAGATTGTCTTCCTCCTAAAGAGTTTCTTAAATTATATTTGGTGGTGGAGGCAAACATTATAGCATATTTAATGTAGTGTTCAAAGTATGTACAGGAAATACTGAAGACAATTATATTTAAAAAATGGGGAGGGTAAAGGGATCTAAATGGAAGTAAGGTTTCTACACTTAGAATACCAGTAGACTGATAGGTTAGTGTGTATATTGTAATACAGCAATCGCTGAAAGAGTTACATTAGGCAATGTACTCAAAACCATTATAAGTCAAATTGAAAATTCTAAAAATATGTTCAAATAACTTACCCTGAGAAAGAGAAGGGAAAAACAGAAACTGAAACAAAGGAAACAAACAAAGCAAAAAAAATGTCAGACTCAAAGACCCTAACATATCAGTGGTTTGATTAAAGGACAGAGATTTGCAGAGTGGATAAAAATACAACCAACTGTATGCTGTCTATACAAAGCTCATTTCAGACATAATGACAAAGGCAGATGGAAAGTTAAAAGTTGGAAAAAGATATATCATGCCAACATTAATCAAAGAAAAGTGGGAGCAGCTATATTAGTATCAGAGACTTCAGAGCAAAGGGAATGACTAGGGGCAAAGCACACAGCATACTGATAAAAGAACTAAGCAAATGGAGAGAATAAGCAAGAAAACACGCATTTAAAATACTACCTGGTGGTGCCCTTTTCCCTGTTGCCAAAATAAGAAATTGCCAGCATTTCCCAATAAATGGAGAGTGAGGCAGTCTTTTGAGAGACTCAGCCACTTTATCTGCTGCAGCCTCCTGGCGTCAAAGCAGTCTCCCTTTCTACAGGACTGTCTGACCTCTTGTAAAGACTCCAAATAACCAGATTTTTCCATCGTGTCCTCAAATGCCATCTCCTCTCTCTTTGATGGTGATTATCGTCTAAGGGTATTTTGTAAAATATACAAAAGGGCTCAGGAGCTCCTTGTTCTGGTGTTGATCCCATGATGAGGTCAGGCCGCTGTGAGCAGAGCACAAAGGACAAAGCTACACTAGGAGAAACAGAGCACAGGGGACCTTTGTACTTCCCCTGTAAGATCAAGAAAGGGCCACGTGGGAGAGACCAATGTCTTCTCCCAGCGTGTTTGATTAGACTGTTCTCCTTTGGTAGAAGGAAAACTCCTGATGTTCACATACATGGCCTCTAGGTCTCCTGCCACACCTCTCAACAGAAGTATCCACAGAGGCTCTGGATATCTGACAAACTCACATCCAGAAATGGCCACTGCGCAGCCCTGCTGGCCCTTAGGAAACAAGCTCAGAAGAATAACACTCCTGACCACTTATTCGTCCATTCATCCTAGCTTCTGGGGATACAGCAGTGAACAAGACAAGCCCAAATCCCTGCTTTTGCGGAGTTTACATTCCAGTCAAGAGGATGGCTTAACAAGTAATTATAATTGTCCATCTGATGAGGTGAAGGCAGCAGTATAAAAGGAGCACATGTGGAAGATCGGACAGTAATAAGTGAAAAATAAAGCAGTGTTGGGGAGAAGGGAGGGTTGTACAATTTTAGATACAAGGCAGTCAGGGAAGATTTCACTGAAAAAATACTATTTGAGCAAACACCTAAAGGAGGTTGAGAAACAAATTATGTGATTGACTGGGTAGTTTGTCCAGGGACAGGGGGCAAAGTTCCTAAAGCTGGAATGTGCCTGGTAATTTTAGGAAAGTTTAAGAGCTAATGTAGCTGAAGAAGTTCATGTACGCTTGTCAAGAAAATTAAGGTGAGATCACACAAGGCTCATGGACATTGAAAGGCTTTTTGTCTCAGTGAAATGGGACACCTTTAGAAAAGACTTTGTGCAAACAGATATGATCAGACATTTTAATATACCACATGGCTGTTGTATTGAGAACTGACCATAGAGGGACAAGAGTGGAACCTGAGCCCAGCTGGGAGATGCCCTGCAAAGCTGTAGGCAAGAAACCCTGCTGGTTGGACCAGGGTCATGGCAGGGGAGGTGGTGAGGAAGGTGGTTGGATTCTGGATATAACATGAAGATTTATTTAGCCGGGCACCCTGTTATGTTGGATGTGTACAATGAAAGAACAGGAGGAGTCAAGGATGACTCAGGATTTTGGAATCAGCAACAAAATGACCAAATTTGCCATATCTGAGATGAAAAACTGCAGGAAAAACACTTTCAGTGAGGCAAATGGGAGTGAGGGTTGAGGTGGTAATTAAAGCACTGAGACAGGATGAGCTGATGGCTAAGTAAATGTGCATGGAGAGAGGAGATCCAAGGACACGTGAAGGTCAGGGATGAGGAACTGGCAAAGGAGCCTGAGCACAAGCAGCCTGAAGGAAGGAGCCCACCAGGTGGATGCAGTGTTCTGGAAGCCAAGCAAGGGGAGGAGGAGGAAGGAGTGGTCAGCTGGGTCTACCTAGCAGGGAAGCCATCAGTCACCTAGAAAGGAGCAGCTTTGAAGGGTGGTGGGAGGAGAAACCTCATTAGACTGGGTTCATGAGAACAATGCGAGAAACTGGAGACAGTGAGCGAAACAACTCTTATAAGCAGCTTTACTTTAACTGAAAGGAGAAAAGTTGGATTATAGCTGGACGGCTAAGTGGAGTCAAGTGAGTTTTTTTAAGATGGGTGTAATTATACCATGTTTATATGCCAGTAGAAAGGCCAAGTAGGAGGAACATGGAAGATGCAGGACAGAGAACTGAAAAGAGTGTTTTCCAAATGCACACATGGAGTAGTTGACTCCTGGTACGAGGGACAGTTTATCATTAGTCTCTGGAGGGAAGCCATGGTTGGGATTAAGGTGCAGGTGGTTGGGTGGAGAGGGAATGGAGGCCCTGGAAGATCTTGGGCTTTGTCTGTTAAGTTACTGAACTAGGAAGCAAGGCCGTGCTTGGGTAAAATGAAATGGGGATGGGCAGTTAGAGGAGAGAGGAGGTGGGGTGTCAGAGGTCATCTAGGGGAGGTCATGGATAAGACTGCCAGGGAGCATTAAGGGTCTCCTGAAGATTAGCAACTATGAACTGGAAGTGTGACCAAATGCATAGTTTGTGCATTTCTCCATGCACTTTGAGCTGTCTGGGTGCTGAGTGGAGTAGGGGAAGAAGCAGAGATGACTCTACAGCCTTTACCACAGCTGCTGTGGGAGACCGAGCATCTTCCTTGCTTCCCTGTGTTTCATTAGGACAAAAGCACCTTAGTCCCAGTGGCTGGTGGGTCCTGACCAGTTGTCATGGGTGGGCAGGACAGGTAAGGATACTATCTCCCATGAGCCTAGGGGGAAGCCCCAAGCAGTGTCACACCTACAGGAGTCTTGGATCCTGGAATGGGTGCTTTGGACTTTGATGAAGCATCTATTCCTGGTCAAAAGTGTTTTGTCAGCCATGACAACCTTCCTCTTTAATTGCTTTGTTTCCATGTCTTTGCTGAAATTACCATGCAAAGACCACATATTGCTAGTTGGTTTTCTCATGGTACATGAGGGCCATTCCACTTTCTCATTTTTTTTCTCTTGTATACTTTCAGGTTTGTGGTCCACGGGTGTTCAGGATGCTGCTGTAAATGAGCAGTGTGGTGACATCCTCACCAACAAACGGTTCATGCTGGACATGCTGTATGCCCATAACAGAAAGCCCACGGATGATGAGGAGAAGGGGGAGGGAGAGGCAGGGAGGACTGAGCAGGGGGCGGAGGCGGTAGCCAGCCTGGCCAGCAGGATATCTACCTTGCAGGCCAACTCTCTGGGCCAGGATGAGAGCATCAGGAGGGTGGATGTTGACTGTCTGGACAATCGGGGCAGCGTGAAAGCCTTTGCCGAGAAATTCAACAGCATCTCAGGGTGCATCTCCCCTGATGGTGAGCCCAATGGCACGGTCCTGGAGAAAGCATCTGCACAGCCAAAGACAGAATCTGACTACATCTGGGACCAGCTCATGGCCAATCCGAGGGAGCTCAGAATCCAAGACATGGATTTCACTGACCTAGGGGAGGAGGACGATATCGACGTCCTGGACGTGGACCTGGGTCACAGGGAAGCCCCAGGGCCGCCTCCCCCACCCCCACCCACCTTTCTGGGTTTGCCACCCCCACCCCCACCACCCCTGTTGGACAGCTTGCCTCCCCCTCCAGTCCCCAGTAATTTATTGGCCCCTCCTCCAATACTCAACACTCCTCAGGGCTTAGGGTGGCCCCAGGTACCCAGGGGTCAGCCGGCATTCATCAAGAAAAAGAAGACCATCCGTCTGTTCTGGAATGAAGTGCGGCCTTTCGAGTGGCCCTGTAAGAACAGCCGCCACTGCAGAGAATTCCTGTGGTCGAAACTGGAACCTATTAAGGTGGACACATCCAGGCTGGAACACCTGTTTGAGTCTAAATCAAAGGAACTGTCTGCGTCAAAGGTACTGCTACCATCCAGCATCCTTCTTGATTTGCTGAGTTACTTTCTGCTGTTGAGTATGACTTAGAAGTTTGTTTTGTTGTGTATAAAACTACCTTTGTGTTGCTTCTGCAATTTGGTAAAAAAAAAAAAAAAGTCAATATAAAAATCCAAGTACCATAGACAGAGTACTTACTGCAATAAGGACTATGCCTGTAATATAATACTCTTTGTGCCATATGCTAGGTGTCAGCTTAATGAGTTAGAGACCCTTAGTACCTAACAGGGACAGTAGTTTACTAACATTATTAGGCAAAGGAGCTTTCAAAGATCCAAATAACCTAGAGGAAAAGACAAAGGCTTAACCAGGGGATATAAGCATAATGTTGATGTTAACTAGAGAAAAGTAGACACTAATTTATCTAATGTGTGAACTTTATCCAAGGGATGTATGTATTTACTTTCACCTTCATTGATTATGATTGATAATGGTGATTTGAACCTCAGCTATAACCACACAATGCTTTTGCAAAGGCAGTAATCCAAGAGGCATCTTTTTGGATAATGCCCTGGCTGAATCTGCATGCTGCCCCTATCTAGATGTTTCCAAATAGCCATATAGTTAGCATCCTGTAATATTACACATGAATCTAGATTTCTTATTTTTCATAAATGTTTGAGGATTCTGTAGGTATTGCTGTGATATTTTTAACAGAGATGTCATATGCACTTTCATAAGTGGACAGCCCTGTACATGAAGTTATTGGACATCAAATGTAAGGTCATGGCTAATGAACACTGATAAAGAAGCTGCAGGATACTGGATCACAGATTTTATTTCTAATGATTCACTGCATTAATAGGGTCTCCTTTACATAGCTAAAAGAACTGTTGTTTTTTTGTGTAAACAGTGTGATTCTGGATATATTACAGTTTTAAAACAGATTTAAGACTATTTTCTCAGGAACTAGGGTTATAAAAATACTTTGTAGAGTATCATTTAGAGTGAACACACAAGAACTTATTACCATGAATTAATACTAGATGCATGTGTTGTTCCATTTATCATCTTTTTGGGCGAGTGTAAAGCTGTCAGAGTTGTGCTCCCCAACCTGCCAGTTGGGCACTGATTCTGAATCAAAAAATATGTACAAGAGTGCCCTACAGACAAGGAGCCAAGTGACACCACCAGTGCTGGTCACTGTGTGATGCTGAAAGGCCGCACCAGGGAGCTGTAATCGGTTGGCTGCATGTGAAAACTTGTGTGGGGATCTGCTTGCTGCTCATCCTGAGTTGACCTTTTCGCTGGTGTCCATTTCTGCCCAGTCTTAGTGAAGATGTGAGTCTAACCCATTTCCAGCTCCAAGAATCCCCCTAAATCAGAATTAAAGTTTTCTTCTGTTTATAAATTCAGATCACTAGAATCCAATAGAGAAAATCATGCCTAACCAATCCTCTCCTTTAGCTAAAATTAGACTTCCTTTTGTCCTCTCTAGAAAATGATACCCAGGAGTGATGTTGGGCACCTGCTCTGGTGTCTGTGTATCCTGACATCCCCAGGCCTGGTAACATATGATGCTGAGCCATCCCCATGCCCCCTTCAGTTCTTACAGTGAGGCCTGGCATTTGGGGGAAGACTGGTCTGGCTGGGTTAAAACAGTAGTCTCAGCTTCCAGGAGTTACTCAGGACCTGAGTGCACAGCACCCTCCAATCTGCTGATCTGGCTGGTCAGTTTCCTTCCCACATGGACTCATCAGGCTGGCTGCAGCCTCTAGGCTTCCCCTGGTTGCTCATGACCCCTGACAGTTGCTGAAATGAGGCTGGCCCTGACTCAGGGGTGGGAGGAATAAAAGGGAATAACAGTTCAGCAGTGAAGGCACTTCTCACTTCATTTTTACAAAGGGAATGGATGAAAGCTTCCTTGAAAATATCCACAACGAATGGCTCACCTGCTCTCTCAGTCCCATTGTGGTCAGTGATGAGAGTCTGGTTGGTGCCCTCTCTGTGGCCAAAGTTCCACTCTTGCTTGAAGTAGGTGGGGGCCTCTTTAAATATGTTATTGCCTAGCTAAAGGACCAATGTTTGCCTAGTCTTAATGAAATGAGAGCATAAGAGGAAAGTAATATATTGAAAAATTTACCAAACTGATTTCAGAATGTTCTAACATGACCCAGGAGCCCATACCTTTGTGTTTTGGGGGATAAGAAATGTAAGCAGGGGCTAATTTACAAATGTTACAAGATGTGAGAATGCAAGTTAGGATTAAAACATATCACATTGGAGAGTTGAATCCATTATGTGTATGTTACAGATAATGACATAACCAATTTTACTTCTGTTTCTAATCCTTGACTGTGATTTTCCTACAATGCAGCTATAAACAGCCACTTCTGAATTCTAGCTCAGGAGAAGTTTTTCATTAAACAACTAGAGCACAACAAATACAAAATGAGCTAAACTTCATAAGACAGCACAGAGCAAAGAAATCTGTTTTAGTTTCTTTCAGAAAATTTACAGCAGACCAGAGTTCTAGGACATGGTTAAGACCAGCCAAGTCATCCCCCAAAACAAAGATTCATGTGCCAGATCTAAGACTGGGTTACCACTTAATGGAAATAAGAACAAAAAGATGTACTATTTTTTTTCAAATAGTTTCTGCAACTGGATCTACTTTTTTCTCACAGCAGAAAATATACAGCTTTTTAGTAAGATGACTTTAATTATGTTTTGTGAAGAAAGAAATCCATTCTAAATTTCATCATATTGTGTTTCTACTGCTGTCTAAGATGTGAATCACACAGGATATAGTTAAAGTGACCCCAGGAAAAGATGTTAGGGCAGACAGCCTGGTATGGAGTTAGGACTCCCCATGGAATTGACACCATCCTGAGGAGCCCCAGAAGGTGACCTGCCTAATCAAGGGCAGCAAAGTCCCTCCTGCTCCCAAAGGACAGGTTCATATCCCAGATTACAGGCAGACCAAGATAAGGATGGAGTGAAAGGGAATGAAAGGAAAAAGGAGACTTGGTTTCCCGTTTGGGGACTCAATGCTGTCTCACTCTCTTGGGTTCATCAGGTTTATCACAGGGATGGGGGTTCCAGAATGAATTTGGAAAAATTTGTTCAACATTATTAATCTTGAAGTTTCAAAATATATCAGAAACTATTAGCAGCAACTTCTTTTTTAAAAAATTCAGAAATGCTGATTTATTTGGTCTGGGGTAAGCCCCAGCCTGGATTATTTTTAAAAGCTCACCAAAAACTCAAACAAAGTTGTGAATCATTGATTTTAAGTGAAAAATGGCAGCATTACTCCCCACTATCATTTTCCACGTGGACTCTCCCACCCTTTCTTCCATTTTCTTCTCCTGAGAAGAGAGTAAAATCTCCCTACCCTATATTCAAGTTAAGGATGTAAGAGAATATGCTATTTCACTTAGCATCACCCTCAGAAAATCTGAATTCTACCTGGAAATCCCAAATGCAACTATGGGGCATAAGGAGGATCATACATCCTAGTGTGCACAAGAGGGCCCTGGCGCATGCCTGCCGTCCCCAGCATAATTATCGAGGGCACTCCCTTTTCCTCTCAAACATCTCCTGGCAAGCGTACTAGGTAAAACTACATTGACGTTGGACATGGAACTGTTGTCCACTTGGTTATAGAAGATTCAAGGGGCAAATATGGGAAATTAATACTTACTTTACCTAAACTTAACTGTAAGACTAGCCTCTTCTGGCAAATTCTTCCAAAGCTTTATTCCTAACTAAAGGCTTTTAGCCTTTATTTAGAATTTGTTGATGTTTAATTGTTCTTTTTCTACCTTAATGTGTTCCCATGTGTATTGCCATTGCTGCTGTTACAGGACTTAGGACAATGGCATTGTCCTATCTTTACGATGTCTGTCTGTATTGTGGCCTCGTCGTCAGTGCCACTTGCTCAACGGATAGTTTTGAAAATGACTGTAGCGTTACTTTTGGGCAGTTGGCCGGGAGCAAGGAGGAATGACTTGCTATTTCCAGAACTGATGTCTTACTGAGCCAGACGCAGGGCCTGTGACAGTGCCTCTGAGAAGTGTTTTGAGAGGTCGGCTGCCTTTCATGGAAGCACTCTCAAACCTCGTGGTATTCTCCAGACTTAGAGCTCTCTTGATAAAGCATGGCCTTAGCCCTTTTTCTATTTTCAGCCATAATCCCGTCTGGGGTGACAAGTTTTATCTGCTAATATCCACTTTTAAAAAGTTACATCCTTTATTTCTAGTAAAATTAATTCAAAGGGGTGATCCTTTGTGTCAGCATTTCAGGAAACTGGAAAACATGCCCTGTGCACCCATGCACACTGCGTGCAGCAGCCTTTGGCCACGCCCCCTCCTCACTCTTCACACTCTCCCCTCACGAGGAAGTTTCTCGGTGTCCCTTCTCTGGACCTCGGCCCTCCTTACCATGGTGTGCCACAGGCAGAAGCCCCAGGACTCTGTGGAGAGGTGAAGCAGGGTATTCCATTTTATTTCCGTGCTTCGGTTGCCTGGTGTTACAGGGATATCTGGCCGTGTCCTCCGGAATCAGCTGCCCCCAACCACAGAAACTCCCGGGCTGCATTGCCCCTTAGTAGGGAAGGACTGTTTCTCCATAACTTGACAGCTCAGCTCAGTACTTGGATCAGCTTGGCATTTGGTGGGCATGTCAGGCTCATTTTAACATCAACTAAGAACTTCCTGCATTTTCTGCAGCTTTATCCCCCAACCACTCATAAAAACAGCAGGACAAGTCTTTGCTGCATCTTGGAATTGGGGCAGGGGCTGTTGCTATTTTTCTGTCCTAAGAAGGGTTCCCTTACCCCTTATATCTTTTCTCTCCTATTTTTAAATTATATTTCTCTTCTTGAAAGAACAACTTTTACTCACTCAACAATCCTGTCTCCAAGGAATTCAGACTTTTTGAAGTCTGAGTAACTCCAGTCACACGAGAGATCTTTTAAACATCTGTGAACCCTGTGCCCATCTCTGAATGAGGAGATCAAG